ATATACATATATATATATATATATACATATATATATATACATACATACATACATATCTAACAGCTAAACTTTAATATTTACTTATATAACACTCAAACCTTTACCATCACATAGATAAATTTTAGATGCAAGATATGTACATGCATAAGAATTGTGTGATGTGCATGTAAATATTTACTTATAAGAGATTCTCATCCTTAAGAACTTCTTCAAATATCTTCCTACACATCACTATAAATGAATCAGAGCAAGTCACTATGATAATCAAACATAAAAAATGTTTAATTTTTTGCTAGCAATCCGCCTGCAAATTTTAACGCTCTAGATCATGAAAATTGTCATAAAAATTTAACATAAAACATAGACGTCACATGAACTCATTGGCATCTTACGCATATATAATAATTTAAAACATAACAAATAGAGATCAGCTGCACCCGGATTACTTTTCTTATGGCCAAATAACACTCAAATGTTTAACATGACATATATGAAGTTTTGCTCAAGTACCAAACCAAACAGAGAGGAAAAATGAAAAAATACAAACCACTAACACAGAGGAAAACCGAAAATCTCAATAGGAAAAATAAATACTTAAAACACAAAACACATACCACCAGAGAGGACAACCGGAAGCCCCATCTGTATCACTTCAACCAATAACAGAGAGGAAAACCGAAAAGTTCAACAGGAAAAAAAACAAGGTAAACTGAGAAGCTCAACAAGAAAAACCACATACCACCTCAAGCACCAAACCACCAAAAGGTAAACCGAGAACCTCAACAAGGAAAGCCACATACCACCTCAAGCACCAAAACACCAACAAGTAGACCGAGAAGCTTAATAGAGAAAGCCACATACCACCTAAGACACCAAACCACCAACAGTTAAACTGAGAAGCTCAACAAGGAAAACAAGTAAAACAAAAATAATCAAACCACCACAACAAAGGACAATCGAGAAAGAAAGGAGAAGAATACTACGTACAGAGAGAGGTGGCGAGAGGTGACAACAGCGAAGACGAACGAAGGGAAGAAGAGGCCAAAGAACCCGGATGATTTCCTAAAGCACAACGGGAACGAATGGAGCGAGGCACAACTGAAGAACGATAATATCGAGGACTCCTAATGTTATTTACCGATTGTAGAGGGGTATACTGGTACTTTCACACCCTAAACAGAGTAATGCCGTTGATTGAATTGCTAAGGACTTATTCCCGGTCTTGTCGTTCAGAAGCCACATGTCGCCGAAAAGCCCGCTAAAAGCGCCTTCCTAATTGGTGTTGAAGTGCTTTTCAAACCGAAAAGCAGGCGAAACGCCCTCCCAACTGCACTAATACTCTTGAAATTATTAAAAAGCAATCTCCTTCTTCAAGATGCTAGAATTCGACTCTTACAATGGCAGGAAAGATCCAACTAACCACGTCTCATTAGGGGTGTCAAATTGGGTATTCAGATCGGGCATGAAATTGAGACCTTATATTAACCCAACCCAAAACTGCATGATCCGAGCTTTACCCAAATATTAAACAGGTAAAAATGACTAACCCATATCCAACCCGCCTTTAATCCACCGACCTCAACCCGCCCCCATTAAAAAAAAATAAGAAAACACATTTAACATGAGAACTACTTTACATATTGAATTTAGATCAATCTCGGGTCAGTTTTGGGTTTACGGGTTAATTTTGAATAAGTCTGAGCTAGCGGGTCGGCAAGACAACAAGAACATGACTCAGGAAATTAAATGGATTAGGATTTCTAACCTAAACATTGATTTTTCGTGTTGTGTTCTGGTCAAATTGGCATGTCGGATCATTTTTTGACACTCCTATGTCTCACTTCAAAAGTGATATTTCTTTAGTAATTGGGAGCAACATAGTTAATATTACCTCTCATTACTACTTTCAAGTAAGTGCTCTCGAGATGGCTCTCTAGACTTCCCATCGAAAATGATACTTCATATTTTAATTTCATAAAGCAATTTATCACTCAATTTGTGAGCACACAAAAGTTGCTTAAGAACTTACAAACACTTATTAACATGAGGCAAAAGGTCTACTGAGATACTTAGCAATTTAGCACATATTTCCAGAGGGAGATGTTAGATGTGAAAGATTTTGAATTGGTTGCTGCATAGATTGCGCTTAATAAAAGTCTCTAATGTAAACCTTCTTGTTATTCTTTAAAGTTGAATATACTAGAATATGTTATGTGAGCACACCGATAGCCACATCAATGCCAATTTAATATAAACAAGTGGCCTTGACTCATGAAATTTGCACACAAAAGCCCAAGGATAGTTGCCAACATCCACATGAAACTTGGCATAGTTCAATCGTTGACCTAACAAATCAGCTGAAAAGTTCCATTTTCATCAAGAAAAATCACTTGAGAAATTTGAAAGAAGCTTGACATCTTGTGACCCCTTTACAAAGAAAGGGGAGCCATACCCAACCAAAGGACTCGTCATATACACTTTCGGTTTTCCATGCTTAAAGTAGTCCAAAAGTGGCTATCAACAAGGCTCTTGCCACCAAAAGCACATGACCGAAGTAAGTTTTGCCTTCCATAAGGATCACGAGCATAGCATTCAAAATGAAGGGGTCACTACGCAGCTGCCATATAACCAACAATAGCTAATATTTGACTATTCTTGTGGTGGTTTGAGTCACGTGTAGCCGATCCTGGGGAATCAACCATAGCTCTCACTTATAAATAAAAGACTTAGTGTCCTACACAATATGGCCAGTATCCTGTCTAATCCCTCTTTTATCTCTCTCTCTCTCTCTCTCTCTCTCTCTCTCAAAATGGTATGTATACGCTCAGTTTGATTTTCCCTCCTCTGAGAAGGCTCCAACCAGGTTCATTTTAAAAACTCACCCGAAATTCCTAAGTGCTTTGATCTGTTTTTGATTGGCCAGTGCTCTCAAGCAAATCTTCAACATACTTCTCACAATTTTGAATCCACAAGGTCATCTTAATCATAGTCTGGAAACCAGTCATTAAAACATTCCAAAAACTAGCCAGCCAAAACAAGAAATAAAGAAGATCAAGGAGATTGCTCAAATAGCTATTTCATAAGTAAGGGTTTCACGTGCTTTCTATCCAATCAATATATTGCAAGAATGAAGCTATTTATTTCCAAACCTTTGACCAAAAAAAAACTTCGGCCTGCAATGAGCGATGCTACCTAAAGAAGTAGGTAACTAGAAAGTAGTAGTTAAATTAAACAAAAGCTAGTAAAGAAACAAAACTATAATAAAAAAGACATACCTTGATGTTCTTAAAAACTCTTTTATTTTCAGGATCAACAACAATGTTAAAAACTGCATCTGGAGGTAACCCAACATTACATTTGACATTTAAGTTGCAAAGAGAGCCTTCTGGTACACTAACCTGAAGAGGGAACAATGACACTTTTAGTTTATTTGCAGTAAATTAAATGGATATAATATTTAAATATTGCTTTACTTAGGCAGAAGCAATTCTTAGTTATGTTCCTGAAAAGCAGAGCTTAATACCGGTGAAGCAAAAAATTATTAAGAGTTGCATACAATTTGATAGTGAAGGAAAAGAATAAATTATAAAATCTTTCCAGTAAATACCATAGCAATAACAAACCATCTTCACATAATTTACCTACTGAGAATGTAAACCATGAAAAATGTCCTAGGTGATACTTTAAGATTATCAACATCACCATCAAAAAGAAAACTGCAGAATAGCACAGCCAGTTAGCTAAAAAGTCCTCACTCAAGTATTAAAGATAAGGATCAACACAAAATAAGAGGTTTAAGCTATGTCGAAGAAAGCGAAGACAGAAAACTCAGAAGAATCAAAGCACCAATCCCTCACTTATAATACTCGGCCTGTTGTATAATTAAACATTACCTTAAGTTCTGGAGATTGATCAACCCAATAGGGGTTCTCTCTCCACGGCTGCATTTGACTCTCTAAATCAACATCCCATGTATTTAACAATTTTTTTTCTTGCATAGTAAAAAAGTTTAAAGCATCAAGCTTGTGTTTATTTTTCTTCAATCCTGACTGTAAGAATGGAAAACAAAAACATTAATTTGTGCTAAGAACAAGTTATGTTCGAAAAAAAAAAAACAGCAGGACACACCTGCAAACAATTGTGAAGACTATGAGGGATGTTCATAAGAAAATCTTGTAGTGATGAAGGAGTCGCTAGCCATCCTTTTCTCTCAACGTGCAAATCAAGACTTTGCTTCATTTTCATGTCATTTGCTAAAGCCTGAAATAATCCACCATATAGTTACATTATGGAAGTAGCACAATTTCAAACTATAGAAATTCTGTTGATTAAGTACAACTATTTAAAGAAATATCATCTTGTTAATGTGATCCCATGAAGAAAGTCACAAACGAAACAAAATCCTGATGGTGTCCATTATTCTATATGATAAAATTGCAAAATTTCACTCTTTTCTTTGTTGGTTGACTACATGGTTCGGCTATGTTTATGATACACAAGTCTGTCTTCATAAAAGGCTGAAAAGCTCAAATCACTCAGTTTATTAGTCAGAGGAAAAAGCAGAATCCTCATCTGAAATGAACCAAGAAACAAGATGTGCATGAGTGTCCAAGCTTTCATGTTGATATTGCTACTATTCAGCATATTGAACTTAGATATATGGTTAACTATCATAACTTCAAAGAAATTTTTGTTTAAGCCTTTGACGAACAATTAATTTAAAGCACGGCATAAACAAGCAAAGGTAAAAGGGGGAGAATTAACTATTTTATCAGAAGCATTTTTCTTTCCATATTCTCCTGAGTTGAATACCTCTTGGAAGTTAGCTACCATACAAATTATCAATAATTCGTCCTTTTATTATAATGCCATATCAAATTAAAAAACAAAAGCCAATAAAACTATAAAAAAGACAAAGTTAACATTATGAGGTGCCAACAAAAAATTAAATTGATCAGACACATAATTTGATGCAATGTGTGTCCCAAAAATTTGCATCTTGAACTCTCATTGAAGTTTTTTATTGTTCCACGTCAAATTTCTAGAATACATATTAGATAAAAGAAAAGACACTACTCAGAGATTTAATCCTCATTTTATATGGAATTTAAAATATGGGGTATGAGGTTTCCTGAATGTACAAGTCCCTATGGTAAAATACTCCTCTCAATAACGAAAGAACATTTCCATTAATGCTAGTCATTAAAACTGAATATTCATCGTATGCTAAAAGTAGACTTAAGTTTTAGGTTATAAGTTTATCACCGTAAGCATAAAACAGATGATGGGGAAATAATGATGAACCAGATTAACATCCTATGATTCCATCATTACAGGTTGTCATGATCTCCCGTCTGCTTGGTCATAAGAGATAATTGATCGAATCTAATGGAAGGGATCTTTGTCGACATTCCTAGCTTGGCTCATCCAAGATACTTTTGTAAATCTAGGATGGATATTTGTCTAACAAGACTAATAAATTAACATTAGTTTATAGATGACTTTACGCCAATCAAAAATATATTTAGGATTCACAACTTACTAGGCAGGAAGTCATTATGGAACATATGTGTTACAATCGTAATCATAATTTAATATTGTCATTTGATGACAAACTATCTAGTCAAAGGACTTTGATCGTAACAAATATTTTTGTAGAGTTATTGGCCCAAAGCATGCAGACAGATGACTCTTGTCACATCCTTACTGGCGTGAGATTATTTAAGGTGTGAACATAGAAATATATATATTTTTTAGTATTTATATTTAATGAGCTGAGATTAAAAAAAAATTGTCAACAATGACAAATTGTTGTGAATGGTGGATGAAATTTGTATTAAGCTTTAATAAATTGAATTTATAGAATATTTTAATTTGTTAGTGTGAAATTTTGATTTTAAAGCTTGATTTAAAAATTAACGCATTCAATTGAAATTTTCAATCAAAATGACTACCATTAGGGTTTAATGTTTGAAAAATACTTCTATATGATTTATTCTTGTTATTTGAATATTATTAAGAATACTACATTTGTTGACTCCAGCTTTATAAGGAGTAGGGCCGGACTAGTTGATTTAAATTTTATTCCTAGATAACGCGATACATTTGAGATCACGCTTAATTTGATTATCTGTAATTCATGGGAGTTTATAATTTTCGAAATAATAATGGATTATTCAAAGATGACATTTGCATGCATCTTGAAGTAAAAACAAGTCAACTAAAACGTAATTTTAATCCATGCATCATTCCTGAACCATATACTTGAATGTTTAAAATGTTTGGTTGAAACACATGCGGGTTTTAAATTTCATATATTCAGACATTTTAGAAAAATTTGTATGTTTTGGAATTAACTTGCATGGGTTTTAAACCATGAATTTAAAACTAAATATAACTTTGAACAACACTTAAAAGATTTAAAATTATGCATGTCTTACTTATTTAAGTAAAGAAAAAATTTTATAAGTGTCGTAATTAAAAAATATTAAACAAAAAGAGTTCTTAAAAAAAAAAATTCAAAAACAACAAAATTAGTATCGATATTGACCTTGATTTTGCGATACTATTCTTAAAAAAAAAAATTCAAAAACAACAAAATTAGTGCAATAGTATCGATATTGACCTTGATTTTGCGATACTATTACATCGATTTTGTCCTATTTTTTTAGTTTATTAGATTTTAGCATAGAATGGTGAGTTGAGCATGAAATCATAATTTAAATAATATTTAAAATAATTTTTTATTGAAATAATAATAAATATTATTATTTTAAAATTGACAAAATCTTTTATTATAAAACACTAGAATAATATTTTTATAATGTATACGTAAGTGAAAAAACAATTAAATAATAATAATAATAATAAATTAATATAAATTTTGCAAAAAATTTACACTATTAGTTTAATTTATTATAAATACTTTATTAAGTTTTCATATTATATTATGATACAAAATGTTGATTTTTTTATATTTATTTTTTTTAAAAATAGTTTAGGATTTAGGGAGCATGTTATAATGTCTTCAATAACTTTTAAATATATATGCAACAAAATTATTATATATTTCAATAATTAAGATAAATATAAATTTAAAAAATTATTTATATAAATGTTTATATATTTTTCTTATATGTACGAGGGAGAAGAAAAAGTAAAAGTGTATGATAAAAGAAACAAAGATATTGAAGAATAAGTCGTTAATGAAGGTATCGTCTACAAATAATACATTTGAGCGAAAAAATAAAAGTACAAAATAAATTAAATACATATATAACGCTACCACCGAAGAACGATTCTGATGACCTCCTAAAAAATAGTACGATATGTGCTTCATTTATTTTGTACTTTTATTTTTTTTGCTCAAATGTACTATTTATTGGATGAAACATTCATTAGTGACTTATTATTTAATCTTTTTATTTTTAATAAGCATGTTTTACTCTTTCTTCAATAATTAAGATAAATATAAATTTAAAAAATTATTTATATAAATGTTTATATATTTTTCTTATATGTACGAGGGAGAAGAAAAAGTAAAAGTGTAGAAAAAGTAAAAGTGTATAATAAAAGAAACAAAGATATTGAAGAATAAGTCGTTAATGAAGGTATCGTCCACAAATAATACATTTGAGCGAAAAAAATAGTACAAAATAAGTTAAATACATATATAATGCTACCACCAAAGAGCGATTCTAATGACCGCCTACAAAATAGTGCGATATGTGCTTCATTTATTTTGTACTTTTATTTTTTTTCGCTCAAATGTACTATTTATTAAATGAAACATTCATTAGTGACTTATTATTTAATCTTTTTATTTTTTTTTTAATAAGCATGTTTTACTCTTTCTTCTTCCCGCTCATACACATGAGAAAAATTTTTAAGCCTTTATATAAATAATAATTTTTTTAATTTATATTTAACTCTTAATTATTGAAATACATAATAATTTTGTGGTATGTACGTACAAGTTTTTTAAGACATTTTAACATGTTCCCTAAATCTTAAACTATTTTTTAAGAAAATTAAATGAGCACTTCAAAAAATATTTATAATAAATTAAACTAATGTGTAAATATTTTTAAAATTAGTATTAATATATTATTATTATTTTAATTATTCTCACTTAAGAATACATTATAAAAAGTATTATTATAGATTTTAATAATATAAAATATTACCAATTTTAAAGTAATCGTATTTATATTAATTTCAATGACAATTTATTTTAAACATTATTTAAATTATCATTCTATACTCAAAACATCATTCTATACTGAAATCTAGGAAATTAAAAAAAAAAATTAGACAAAATCAGCTCAATACTCATCATTCTATACTGAAATCTAGGAAATTTAAAAAAAAAATTAGACAAAATCAGCTCAATACTACCGATTTTGACCTGATCGGTCAAAATCGGTAATGATTTTGTCGCTTCTGAAATTCTTTTTAGAAAAATGTCGTTCTTTTTAAAAAAATTTTAACTACAATGCTTTTACAAATTTCTTTTTAAGTAAATACTCTAATGCATGCTCAATATGAAAGTATCTAAACTATTTTTTACACAAGTCTTAAAATACCTGCATAAATTTAAAAATATTATTTTAAAGTTAAAAAATTTTAATTCATATTAGTCCTAAAATCATTTAAAAATTAAATTCATTATGCAAACATTGTGACGTTAAATTGTATGCAAGATTTCAATTTTAAATTTAAATGATACATTCCATCTGCTTGTAAGTTGGAATTGCAGATCCGATAGCTAATATAGTGACTTAAAATTTAATTGTATATTTAAGATAATAAATTTTATTATTTGCATTTGATTAGTGATTAATTGAATTTCAAATGCTTTATAAAGCCTTTATTATATTTGTCAATAGATTTTCTAATTCATTATAAATTCTTTCGAAATTCACTCTTGTTTGTCGATGAATTATTAAATTTAATATGTATAAGTCGTCGTGTTTAAATTTAGTTTATTCAAGAAGAAAATCATCGTGTTTGAATTATTTATCATGCATAATTTTCTTAATGGGGTTTTCTAACCAACCTGTGCATAGGTTGTTAATGTGCATGTAAAAAGGTAGGGCGAACACTTTTTCTAATATATATATATGTGTGTGTGTGTGTGTTTCACGTCTCTGCTCATTGGTGTGAGTGTGTGTGTGTGTGTGTTCCACGTCTCAACTCATTAGTGCAACCTGTGCATAAGTCCCTCGGGTCGGAGGTTCAACTTCCGTGGCGCGGGCTCT